TGTATGAGAAGAAAATCAAGTCAGCCGACCTGCTATATCTAACTGATTCTGAACGAACTCGTCTTTGAGATGAACGTTTTCTAACGCATTTTTAGTCAATCAAATGTTAATACAATAGTACATAATTTGACCATTAATTTTGTGACATTATAGGGGAAGCTGAGCTTCCCTTGCAGTCTTAAAGAAATCTCCACTGTTATAAGTACAATTTGACTTTATCATTTGTGTCCCCTTCAAAAATTGCTCATGAGAAATTTTATATTTATTGTCCCCCCCTACTGTTAAATGAAATTTAGGCCCATGACGGTACCGTGTATAAAAAGTACATTCAACCAGGACATGCACAGCTTATGTAGTGAGATTAAATAGCGTTAAATAGAGTTAAATAGCGTGAACGACTGTGGAACCGTCTGGGCTGTTGAGAGAACTGCATTGTAGGTGGGTGATAGATTATGTCTAAGGTCCAATGATGTTCAACGATGGTTGTTCATTTGAACCAGTCGTCCTCCCAGCGTGAACGACTGTGGAACCGTCTGGGAAAAGTTGAAAGAACTGCATTGTAGGTGGGTGATAGATTATGTCTAAGGCCACCTCCTATGTTCAACAACAGTCGTTCATTTGAACCAATCGTCCTCCCGGTCCACCTACAATGCAATTCTTTCAACTTTGCCCAGACAGTTCCACAGTCGTTCACGCTCGGCCTCAGGTGGTATCAGTGAAACACATGAAAGCCAGGGGGAACAACAACAACCCACAGGTGATCATCAAGTGCTAACGACTTTAGGACTCCACAGGGTTCATAAACCTGCTATGCCAACCAGTCAGTCAGAATTGAGAAAGCACTCCAGATGGAGTGCGAAACGTCTTCTACGAAAAACAAAGTCCAGTTGCTATTGCATAACCCTTTTTTAGGATAACCATGACCTGGATAACTGAGAATCTCCACATACAGTACATCTGTCATAAATTATTTTTTTTTTGGGGTGCACCCCCGATGAAAATATGCCAGCGGTAATTGACGTCAACACTTTTTCTATCATTTTATGCATGAACGTATGTAAAACTGGTGCACTTACAATGTCCTAGAGGATAACTGTAATTTTAATAATAACATGGTAGTAGCCATAGAAATGGCCAGGGGGTGCAAAATGCACCTCAAGGAACCATTGAGGGTTAAGAGTGAAATTTTACTCTCAGAAGTTTTATGCATACCAGTGTTCTGTCGAGTTGAGCTACTTTGTCGAGTTAGGCTACCGTAGTGCTAATCGATAGCCCTAACTCTTACCCTAACCACCCAAAAACCCCTAAAACCCTTACTTTAACCCTAACCCTAACCCAGGGGTCATCAACTATATTTGTCAGGGGGCCAGAGTTTTACCAGACAGTCTCCTTGGGGGCCGGACCCCCAAGAAGAAAATCAAATAAAAATCTAATTTTGCCTTAACATTATATTTAATGTTTATACTTTTTCCATTTCATAGCCTAAATATAGTCATAAATGGTGGTTATTCTTGTCATATCCCGCTCCGTACGATCCCGATGTGTGCCACGCCCCCCTCATTACCTCGTGTTCAGCCCTGATGGTTCTCACCTGTTGCCTGTTCCATTTATCAAGTTTTGTGTATATCAGTCCGCGTCTCCCCATGTCTGCGAGATCCGGCATTGTATTGTCATGTACTGTGCTTCGTCTGTCCGTCAGCCTCAGAATAAACCCCGTTTGCCCGTCAGTCCTGGCTTGTTCTCGTTTGCTTCCCGGCTCGCCGGTCCCCGAACGTGACAATTCTGACAAGAGACTCAGTTGTTGTTATTTTTAGTTGCTTTAATAGTGTGGACCACTATTTTCTTTTTGATCCTCACAATTTTGGAATCCAGTCGTGGGCCGGATTGAATGGCTCAGCGGGCCGGTCAGTTGATGATCAGTGCCCTAACCCCTAAAACCTAACCCTAATCCCAAAACGGTGGAACTGCACATGCGCGGAAAGGCTCAATGGCACGTCTCGATAGGTAACTCAACTCGTCAGAACACAGGTATTTAAAAACAGTATTTTGTATTTTACAGGTATATTCTTGTAAAATGAAAAATATAGTAAAATGCCGTTTTATCCTTATGGTAAATTTTCATAAAAAAACTTTTTTTTTTTACAGTGTACTGACAAAAAGTTATGCTTGATTCTCTTTCAATTTAATTGTTACTAAATTGAGCATAATCTTCAGACTGAATAAGTGATACAGCCTTCAGATGTATATAATTCATAAATAATATCAATTTACCATAAAAGTAATGAAGATAAAATACTGAGACAAACGTTAATGTTAGATCAGAGCCTTTTGGACACCAGGGACTAAGTGTCACCACACCACAAGAGCAAATATGTCAGCCAAAGTCCCTTCGTCTCAGTCCGTATGTACTCAAAACTGCCTGTTTTCACTGTTACTATGCAGTAATTTATGCATAAAAATCGAAAGTAAAAGTTCTGAGCATTCTTCATTCAGTCGCCATTTTGCGGTGGGGACGCAGGAAAGAAATCTTCACTATCAGGTATGAAGAAATGCTCAATAGCTTTTAAACGAAAATATCACCACATTTCATATTATGTTCACCGTTCAGGTTATAACTGCTGTT